AAAAAAAAAAAAGAAACGATGGGCCAATGAAAAGCCCCACTGGTTTCCCCCTGTCCAGGCCATTGTATAACATTTTTTCTAAAGAGGGTGTTTAGCATCAACTTTACAATTGATGCTAACATTTACCCAGTTTTCCAGCTTTTTCGAAAAGTAAACTCTATACCCAAAGTGGGGCTCTAACTCACAACCTGGAGATCAAACGTTGCATGCTCTGACTGAGCCACCGAGGCGCCCCTACTTTAAAATGTAAATCAGTAAGAAGATGAGCTTTACTCAGCAGTTACTCACTTTACAGAAGACTTTCCTAAAATACGTATATTTTCCTGGGGTGCCTGGCTGTCTCACTTGGTGGAGCATGCAACTTGATATCAGGGTTGTGGGTTAGAGCCCCACATTGGGGCATAGAGATTACTTAAAAAATAAAATAAACATACAGTCTTTACGTTGCTTATAGTTTGGCCATATCACATTTTCATCGACATTTTATTATATGTATATCAGTTTTGTTACAGTTATTTCTCATTTTCTCCCTGGATATTTTTCTAATCCTTTTAGGAACTTTACCATTTCTCATATGTCTTGTGATTTTTGGCCGTGCAGTGTAGTGGAAACAGCACACTACAACTTAATCGGAAAATCACCACCTGTGCGATTTTGTACAAAGCACTTAAAACCTCAAAGCCTATTGTTAATCTCTAAAATGGGGGTTATAATACCCACCTGAGAGGATTGCTGTGAAAGAATGTAAAAGTGACATTCAAAACTAAAAATTAGGACAGTTTGATATAAATTAAGTATTATGACTATTAATCACCACTTGGGCCCATATCATTGACTTAAATTTTTTTTTTTAAAGATTTGATTTATTTATTTGACAGAGAGAGACACAGCGAGAGAGGGAACACCAGCAGGGGGAGTGGGAGAGGGAGAAGTAGGCTTCCCGCGGAGCAGGGAGCCTGATGCGGGGCTCGATCCCAGGACCCTGGGATCATGACCTGAGCCGAAGGCGCTTAACGACTGAGCCACCCAGGCACCCCTTAAATTTTTTTTTTTTAAAACCTCATTTTATTTTTTGCCCTTGCTTGAGTTGGGATCTCCACTAAGTTTTTATAGAACAACTGGCTATAAATATCTAAATATCATTTTATCACTGGAAATAATGTGACCAAGCAGTGAGTGACCTCTACAAGTGTGGAAATAAACTTGAAGCTTTAGCGCATATAACATACTAAAGGCCTAATATTAAGATGAAACCCTTACCCCTGGCAGATTAAGCAGATAACTTCATTTTTTAAATTATCAGTGGAAGTGGATACACACACACAAAGAATCAATGACTGAGTCCTCACACTGACAAGAATTTCTCTTGTAAAATATTTCTCAGATATTCAAGTGACTGTGCACTTTCAGGTTCTATTGGGATATTTGAATGGAAATTTAAAATTTTATTTATTTGTTTATTTATTTATTTGAGAGAGAGAGAGAGCATGAGTGGAGTGGGGGTGGGGGAGAGGGAGAAGCAGGCTCCCTGCTGAGGAAGGAGCCCAAGGTGGGCCTTGATCCCAGGACCCGGGGATCATGACCTGAGCTGAAGGCAAATGCTTAACTGACTGAGCCACCCATATGCCCCTGGAATTTTTTTGGTAAAAAAAAAAAAGCTAGATATTAAAAACAGGTTTGGAGGAGCTATGAAAAACTTAAATATTTCTGTTAAAGACCTTGACTATAGAAGAGAGCCAAATTAAGTCAAAGAGTAGACCGCAGATTATGAGCTGTCTTGAACACAAGAATTTGATGTGATTTCGAGAAAAGGTAAACTTTTCAAAAAACGACCAAAAAAAAAAAAAAAGATAAGCCAGTTCCTATAAGGAAGTCCAAAAGGACGATTTAAATTATTTGTTTATGATTTTCTCCATTCTTCACCCCCACAAAGCAAGAAAACAGAAAAAAATTAAAAATTGGAGGAGGGGCGTCTGGGTGGCTCAGTCACTTAAGCATCTGACTCTTGATTTTGGCTCAGGTCATGATCTTAGGGTTGTGAGATAGAGCCCAGCAGCACCCCCGCAGGGATCCCTGCTGGGGGTGGAGACTGCTTAAGATTCTCTCTCCCCCTCTGCCCTTCCCCCACCCCTGTGCGCAAGCGCACTCTTCTTTTCTCTCACTCTAAAACAAAAAACAAAACAAAACAAAAATTGGAGGAGGAAATGGAAAAAGCATAACAATAGCGATGCTTGAAACTACCATTCAGATACTACACTTAAGGGTGATTGACCATAAGACACACACACACACACACACACACACACACACTTTCACTTTATTGTGTATATTTTTAAGAGAATGAAACAATTTCCATCGCCAAGGATTTTGGCAACTCACCTCCATTATGACAAATTACCTGGGTCCATCTTCAAGAATAAAGCCAAGGTGAGTGTCCCTTCTTACTCGTATTTCAATTTGAAGTTTTTAATGTCTAGATATTGCCTTTCTGAGCTATGTGATGAAGTTTGCATCTTTAGAATTTTAATAAATGAAGTGTGAGATTTAGTATTTCTTATGTTGTTTCTTTCTTCAGATTATATTTGCTATTGTTTCATGCAAAGCAAATGCATTTTCAGCTAGGATATAAAACATATACCTAGAATTGAACATATTTTAAAATCTGTTTTATAGTGAATAGATTTCAGAATCCCACTAAGATATTTAGAGTGTTTACAAAAGAGTACAATCTAGGAAAACAAGCAGAGGGTTTTTTGTTGTTGTTCTTCTTTCTGGTGAGCATTATTTACCTGAGGTCTGAAACATTTTATTTCTGAATTTCACATAAAATAGCAAACTTCATGTCATGCGTACGTAACAATAGGTGCGTTGGTTACTCTTATCACTGTTTGATCTTCTCCCACCAAACTCTGAACATTATTTTCATTTTCCTTAATATTATTTTGCAATTTTTACTTTGCGTTTTAACTTTCCAGATCATGCCCTTATGACGATTCTAACGAGTTTGCTCTTTCTTCCTTTTCGATATCTTCTACATACAACTTTTTACTAAGTTCATTAGCAGAAGTTCTCTGCTACAACATCAATCTGCTTTTTCTCCTTTTTTCTCCCTTCTCCCCAAATTTCTCCATCTGCTACCCCCTCTTCTTCAATTTCTTACTGTCCTTCTTTCTCTATATGTTAACAAAATTAAGTCGTATACAGGATTACACAATGATATTGCTCACCCCTTCACTTTTCCAAAGTTCAAAACATAGACCTGAATAAACTAACTTAATTTTCTCTCCCTAGATATTGGTGATATTTCGAAACCCTAAAGATACGGCAGTATCTTTTTTCCATTTCCACAATGATGTCCCTGATATTCCAAGCTATGGCTCTTGGGATGAATTCTTCAGACAGTTCATGAAAGGACAAGGTATAGCTGTTGGCAAAATAATTCTTACTTCAACAGATGACCACATTAAGTACAAAAAAATCAAATGTGTCTTACAGTAAAGAAAGAAAGAAGATTAAGGAGGATCCAGGAACCAAAAAGTTGCTTTTAAATGAAGTTTTATAGCACCACTAGTTCTGTTCATCAAACAATAATACATTAGTGTTTTTAAAAATAATTTAGGCAATTCATATGTTGACTATGAGTAGGGGGTGGGCATCAAACAGACATGGGACAGGGGCACCTGGCTGGCTCAGTGGGTAGAGCATGTGACCCTCGAACTCAGGGTTGTGAGTTCGAGCCCCATGTTGAGGGATAGAGATTACTAAAATAAATAAATAAATAAAAACTTAAAAAATAATAATAAAATAAAATTTAAAAATCTTAAAAACCCACACCTAAGATATTCGTTTGCCAGAAAGGAAATCAGCTTTGCTAGACCATGTTGTTGTTTCACCTCTGGTTATTGCTAACTGCAATTACTGAAGCTCCAGGTACTAACGTAGGTGTTGTATGTGCATAATTTCGCTTAGGACCGTAACAAACTATGAATAAGGCAGTAGTCGCCCCTTGCACAAGTTAAATCACTTGCCAGGGGTCCCACTGCTTGTAGGTACTGGTGACTCTGCCCCCCATGGGTATAGTGGCCAGAGATTAAAGATGCCTTCTCTGACTCGTGGCTCTCTTGAGTCTTACAGGGAGTAGAAGGCAGAATTAATGCCAGATGACCCTAGAAAGGAAGTTGTTGACAGATCACTCCAAGAGGACCACTTTTGAAGGTGACCAGCCCAGCAACCACATGCATGGACACTGGGTGCAGTCAGTACTGGCCCCAAAGGAAAGATGAAGTATGGGGATTGGGGTGTAGGAGAGAAAAAAATAGTGCACGGAAGGTGCTTATGAAGCACCTTGAAGAAAGTTTAGTTTGTCTGGAAACCACTCACTGAGGCTAGATGGAGGAGGCAGTTAAGGCAAGTCTGAAACTGCCCCCCATTGATGACATGAGAGGGCATTTAGTGATGAGGAGCTGTCATCACTGGAACAATCTGTCGTAGGAAATCTTTGTGGCTCTAGCCGCCCTTTCAGCCTAATTATTTGATTGACAATGATAAAATGTGCTGGGCTTAACTTGAATAAAGTTTCTGCCTTACAAACTTGTGAAATTCAACCCAGGGAGGAAGCTCAACGTACTGGGAAACATACAGGATTTGGAATGAGATGTCTGAATTGGGCTTCATCACTTACTACTATATATTATAATTAACATTAGAGAGAATAAAATAGTTACCACTTACTGAACAATTACTACATGCCAGGCACTATATGCTATCCCTCGCATACGTTTTTAAATTTCATTTCTCATAAGAACCCTACGAGGATAAATACTATTAGTGTCCCCGTTTTATAAAGATGGAAATAGAGGCATAAGAAGTTCACGCGGCCATTAAGTAGCAGAGCTAGAACATTTTTAGATTAATTAATTAATCTTTAAATTTGAATTCAGTTAATTAACATATAGTGTATTATTAGTTTCAGAGGCAGAGTTCAGTGATTCATCAGTCTTGTATAACCCAGTGAGCAGAGCTAGAACTTAAACCCATGTTCAAATCACTCATGCCTCGGTGATTTTGAGCAAGACACTTGATCGCTGTGGACTTTGGTTTCTTTACTTCTAAAGTAAGGAGAAGAGTATCCGACCTACAGAAAGTGGGACAGTATAGCATTTTGTTTGGTAGCCCTAGCTTTTGTGTCAGACAGTTGTCGAAAGATGACAATACCCATAACTTACTAACCCTGTGACCTTGAAGTGGTGACTTAGCTTCTCGGGGTTTCTATTTCCCCATCAACAAAACAGGTTTAAAAATTGTACCTATCACATTGGATTGCTTTAAAGATAGAAGGATAAAATGTACCAATTAATAGTGTATTTGGAAGAATAGAAAACCTGACCACAGGGGCCTAAATAGATTGTGTTTTATTTTTCTCACTAAACAAGAAGCCTGAAGGTAGGCAGCTGGTTCAGCTGCCCAGCCCAGTGAGGTCGGGCCAACACCTCTGACATTCCCTTGGCCTCTCCCTTTTGCCCCTTTTGCAACATACTCTCAAGTTGGCTACTGTCCTTCCAAGCATCCCCTTCAGTTCACCAAGAAGACGTAACAAGACAGCAACAGGTTTGCTAGAAACCTTCCAGCAGACTCCTGCTTGTGTCTTGCTGGCCAACCACAGCTCTGAGAGAGGCTGAAAAACAGGAACCCAAATTCTCACAATTGGCTTAGACCCAAGCAATCAGTTTGGGTAGCAACAAAAACGGAAGTGTATCGGATACTGGGTATGAAACTTACAGAGTTTGCCACAACAAATAAAACATGCAGAAACAGCCTGGCTCAAAGCAAGGGCTTCATGATAATGATAATAATTATGAGAATATTACTATTATTAATGATATAGTGATAATGGTTAAAATTTGTTGAGTGGATACTATAAATCAGGGGCTGGTTTGAGCATTTGGTATGTGTTAATTCACTTAAACCTCCAACAACCCCATTTTACAGATGAGGATCCTAAGGTACAAAGGGGTTTAGCGAATTGCTCAAAGTCACACAGTCTGCAAGCAGCACAGCCGATCAGTGTCTCGATCTGCACTGTCCAGGATGGGGGCCACTAGCTACATGTGCAACTGAGCACTTGAAATGTGACAAGTGCAATCGAGGAGCTAAATTTTAAATTTTATTTAATTTGAATTAGCTTAAATTTAAACTTAAAAACAGATACTCAGTTCAGTTATTGGAGACTTTTAAATAAGTTTGGTACAAGTTGAGTGTATGAATCTACTTTTTCAAGCAAAGTTTTAGAAGTCGAAAAATACATCAAGTATTTTTTAAACGATTTTATTTATTTATTTGACGCAGAAAGAGAGAAAGAGCACAAGTAGGCAGAGTGGCAGAGGGAGAGGGGAGAAGCAGGCTCCCCACTGAGCAGAGAGCCTGATGTGGGGCTCGACTGTAATAGAATTTAAATAAAATAAAAATTACAGTTGTGGCTTGCATTAAATTTCTATTGGGCAATGCTGATCTAGATAATATCTGTCTCATCATTTCTTTCTTTCTGGCACTGTCAGTTTTCATGTATCATTCACTATTTCTGAATTATTTTATTCACCTAAATATTCTGAATGTCTGATAGTTTTTATCAAACCACTTTTGCAACTAGCTTAGTTGTGTTATTTATGAAAATAATAAAATGAATAGAAATCTGACAATAAGAATGGTTTATGCCAATTCTTTTGGAGCAGAGATTTGTAATAACAAATAAACATCTTGTTTGAGGGGTGCCTAGGTGGCTCAGTCGGTTAAACATCAGACTCTTGATATTGGCTCAGGTCATGATCTCAGGGTCATGAAATCAAGCCTCTCGTGGAGCCCTTTGGTGGGCTCCTCGGCGAGGAGTCTGCTTCTCTCTCTCTCTCTCTCCCCCTCTGCCCCTCCCCCCCACTGGCATGTGTGCTCTCTAAAATAAATAAATAAATCTTTAAAAAAAATCTTGTTTGAGCATATACACATATGTATAGTTTATATTTTAGAGCATAAATTAACCATCTATCATTTTAGCCTCAGTTATTTAAAATTCCTTAAGAATTTTTTTTCCTGTGTTTTTAGTTTCTTGGGGAAGTTATTTTGATTTTGCCGTTAATTGGAACAAACATCTTGATGATGAAAACGTTAAGTTCCTATTATATGAAGACCTGAAAAAGGTGAGATTATGATTATTGACATTCTATGGCAAAATTTCTTATAAAATATAATGTAGAGCACTTACTTTTAATGTCTGGTTGTGTGAATATTGTATTCAATTAAAAAAAAGAATATTCCAAATATGTGGGACAGGCTAGGAAAAAAAATACAATGCATAGGGGCTTAGGTCGTTTATTAAACAGAAATAAAATAATGGTTAGCAACTTATGATTAAGAGTGGCTGCTTTATTTTTCTGCTATGATAGATGGTCCAATTTAAGAATGGCAAAAATAATAGGTAGGTTTCAGTTGAGATTTAATTGAATATGCATTTGGCTGTGAATTGATTTTTCCATATGATGTTATTTTTTAAATTGTTTATCCATGAACATTTAGTGAGTGAGTGCTCAGCATTGTTCTAGGCCCTTGTGATACATCAGTGAACAGACCAGACAAAGTTCACTGCTCTGGAGAAGCTTACCTTCTAGCTGAAGAAGGCGGGGAGAGAGAATGATAAATAATAAACACAATATTTTTTAATGTTTATAATATTTAAGACAAAAATGGCATAGCTGATTAAGGAAAATTGGAAATGTTAGGTAGGGGTGGGGAACTGGGATGGTGGACATATCCCAGTATAGAATAGGGTAGTTGGCGGAAACCTCATGGAAAGTAAGTGATTTGAGCAAAGATCTAAAGAAGAGAGGGAGTGAGCCAAGTAGGTAATTGGAATAAGAGCTTTCCAGGCATACACAATCAACTGGAGCAAAGGCTCTAAGGTTGGAGTGTTCCTGGCATCATTAAGTGACATGAAGGAGGTGAATGTGACGGGGTCAGTAGGGTTGAGCCTGGGGAGATTAACCAATGAGAACAGAGGCAAGGGAATGGGGTAGAGTGAAGTATGCGAATCATGTGGCAGGCCATTGAAATTCCTTTGGCTTTCACTCTGAGTGAAATGGGAAGCCATTGTAAGAGAAGAAGAGTGATAGGAGTTGGTGTGTTTTTAATAGGTTCATTCTGGTTGGTGTATGAGAACGTACTAGGGAGAAGCAAAGACAGTGTAGAGAAACCCATGAAGGGAGTATTGCAATAGTCCAAGCAAAGGAAGATGATGGCTCAGGCCAGAAGGGGCAGTGGCAGTGATTAGTGGTTGAATTCTGAATATACGTTGAAGAAGAGTTAATAGGATTTCCTGCTGGACTAAACGGAAGAAAGAGTGGTGAGAGAAAAAGAGAAATCAGATAAGACTCCAATATTACTGGCCTGACCAACTGAGAGGATTGAGTTGTCATCATTTGAGTAGGAGATGCCAGTAGGTGAAAGCGGGATTGTGGGAAAGATCAGGGGTTTGGTTTTGGATATGTTTAGTGTGAGATGTTTATCAGTCATCTAAATGGAGGGGTCAAGTAGGCAGTTGGGTATAAAAGTCTTGAATAAAGAGAGAGTTCTGGGCTATATATATAAATTTGGCACATGAGATTACATACCCATGTATGTAAGTTACAGATGGAGAAGAGAAGAAGACCAAGGACTGAGCCCTGGAGTCCCCCATAGAGAGAGTTTGGGAAACAGGGGGAATCAGCAAAGGAGACAGAGGAGTGGCTATTGAGGTAGACAGGAAGCCAGGGTCCTGGAACTCCAGTGAAGAAAGTATGTTAAAAAGAAGGGAGTATGTCAGATGCTTTCTAGTGGAAGTGAGTTCTTAACACCAGTCTCCCCTGAAATTCTTATCAAAGGAAAGTATAACTGAACCTGTCCCTTTCGTTAATAGAGTGCATCTATGGAACATGAAAGAACATACCAATTTAATCTGTTCTCCTTCTAGCCGAGAGTAATGTCTCTAAAACTTGTGTTCTATGGAATGTCAGTGTTGCCCAGATGTTAATAATTCTTACTTAGAGGTTGCCTATTCAAACTGATTTGGGGACTGCTACTCCTTTGGGACGTTCACACTGTAGCTGGCATAGTAAAGATTCAGAGATCCCGTAGGAAAAACTAACAAAAAGGTTATCTTTATTTAACTGAAAGGATTCCAGACTTATTTGACCTCAACCCTTCACCCTCCTTTTTTTTTTCATGAAACATCTATAACCACCTTAAAGTAAATTAATGTTCTGTAGAATACAGTTTAAGAAACTGTTCTAGGAGATTTATGAATCTTCGTGGTCAGGGATACTGTTGAGGAGGTTCATGATTTACAAGGGTATTTAGACAAGATAAATTTCAAGACTCCTTCTAGTTTTTATGATTCCAAAAATTAGACTTTCGTGATGGAATTAAACAGAGAATTCAGAAGAAAAGAGAATTGGAACAAGCACGTACAATTACATTAATTTCCTCAGCTCATCTAGACTGGTGCTTTTTAGTATCACCTTAGATGAGATTCTTACCTACTACTTAACGCTTACTGTCATTATTTGTATCCTGAAGAGTTCAGGAAGAGTCATACATTGAAACTACAAAGTAAAATCAATACAGAATATCATGTAGGGCCATCTTGAATATTGATATAGAAGTATCAAGGGAAGTCTAAAGATAGTGAGATAAATAGTTAGAGAGCTAAGCTTAATAAATCCATTCTGGCTAAGAAGCCTGTCTTTGCTATGGCATGATTCCCATACAAAGAAGTTTATCCTTGAAAATTTTGTTTTCAGAACCTGGCTGCTGGAATTGCTGAGTTCTTTGGATTCTCTTTAACTGGGGAGCAGATTCAAACCATCTCAGCCCAGAGTACCTTCCAAGCAATGTGAGCAAAGTCCCGGGAAACACATGCTGCTGTTGGCCCGTTTCTGTTCCGCAAAGGTAAAGTCGCCCTAGTTTCTGGGACACCCACAATTTGCATGTAATAGGCAATCCACATAACTAGACCTTAAGTTAAGACAGGATTTCCTTTTTCTCTCCCTCAACGAGAAGTTTGACACAGTCAGTTCAGAACTAGACTGGCAGGTCGGCAATATCTAGGTTCCTTCTACCTTTCTGCTTGTCATTTTGTGATGGCAAGATAGCAGCCAGAACACTGCCATTACATTAAAATTAAAGTATTGTTTTATTAAAATAAGGGACTAGCAAGGGACAGAATTAAGTGTATTAGCTGAGTGGGGTCCCTTTAAAGAACTTTGTGGGAAGCCTCATCAGTAACTTTGTACTTCATTGGCCACCTCTCTCTGCCCTGTTGCATGGGAACTGTGATTTTTTTTCTAAGGTGGGAACATTATTACTAAATTAAAATCAGGGTTTTGTTAATAAGGAAGGAAGAGATAATGAGTATTGGATAGGCAACTAGCTATGTCTGTCATTTGATGATTTTACCTAAATTTCATTAAAGCATTCTAATTTCTTACATAAATTTATGATAATATAGCTTAGGGATTACCAGGCTTTTTAATTGCATATATAACAAAAGTATAATGTGATTTAGAGCCAGCACACATCACAACGACAACTATCATTTATCAGGCATCTATCGTGTGTTAGACCTTTTGCTGGGCATAAATTTTATAGCAAAAAAAAAGATATTAATTCCTTAATTTTACTAATGTGGGCACCAAAGCTCAGGGTTATTAATTTGTCCATTGCCACAAAGCTAATAATTGATGGAGTCAGGATTTGAACATGGATTTACTTGACTCTACTACACTTTATCAAATGAAGACCCATTTAAAATCCTCACTGTGAATGGAACATTGAATATAAATCTGGCTTTGGTTTGATTCCTGAATTTATCCCTGATTTTTATGCCTTGTTTGATGAACTTTAAAGGAGGGGAAAAAATAGAACTTTTCTGTACATTGTTAATCAAGCACTATTCAGAACAGAAAAATTCAAAAATAAAGTAATAATTTAAAATTTTTACAATATTCCTTGTAGAAAATTCAGAAAGCATGGGGAAATGTGCAAAAGCATTAAAAATTATCCACATTTCTCCCACCAGAGGCATGTTTAACTTTTTTGGCATATTTCTTCCAGCCTTACTCTGTGATGTCAGCGGATGACATTTGTAAACAGTTTTGTGTTTTATGTTATTCCCTTCATATATCTAAGCATTTCCTCCTGTCATCAAACCCTCTTAATAAACAGACATTTCAAATGGCTATGCAACAAGGAACTTGCACCTTCAACCCAAATCACCAAAAGATTCTAAAGAAAAGTAATTTCCTTTGTTTTTAAAAGTAATAAGAAAAACATTTACTAATCTCAGGAAAATAATAACTTCCTGCAAAATTTTCAGTATCTGAGGTCTTCACAAAAACCTGCTGTAAAATGACAACTTCTCAAGGGGAAAAGTATTTAAAAGACTTCACAGAGAAAAAAAAATGATTCTCAAAAAGTGGAATTTTAGGTCTCAAGGCTTGAGACAGGGGTGGGGATAGATCATTGAAGCCTATTGTCCCCTCAGGGATGTAAAAAGCACATCACCTCCCATGCCACCAATGGGGAAGCCCCAGTGATACTGTTAATTTTACAAGACTTACATTCGTTCTTAAGACTAATTTTCTTCATGTGTCATTTTCACATTTCAAAGTGAAATGCTGCACTGAAAAATGGTAAAATCGAGAAGAAATAGTGGTGGGGGATGGGCAAAAGGGGTGAGGGGAGTGGGGAGGTACACATCTCTGGTTATGGAATGAATACGTCACAGGAATAAAAGGCACAGCATTAGGAATACAGCTCGGTGGAATTGTAAGGTGTTGCATACAGGTGACAGAAGGGAGCTATACTTGTGGTGAGCACGGCATCACTTAGAGAGTTGTTGAACCTGAAACCAATGTAACACTGTGTGTCAACTACACCTAAATAAAAATAAAAATAAAAATAAAATAAAATAAAGTAGCTAAAAAAATCAGGAAGAAATATTCTTATTTTATTTTATTTTATTTTATCATGTTATGTTAGTCACCATACATCATTAGTTTTTGATGTGATGATCCACGCTTCATTGTTTTCGTATAACACCCAGTGCTCCATGCAGTACGTGCCCTCTTTAATACCCATCACCAGGCTAACCCATCCCCCCACCCCCCTCCCCTCTAGAACCCTCCTCAGTTTGTTTCTCAGAGTCCATAGTCTCTCATAGTTCGTCTCCCCCTCCGATTTCCCCCCCAAAAAAAGAAGATAGGAAGAAATATTCTAACAGATGTCTGGGTCTGTTGTTTTGTGTGTGTTGCAGGTGAAGTTGGCGATTGGAAAAATTTGTTCAGTGAAACTCAGAACCAGGAAATGGATGAAAATTCAAAGAGTGCTTAGCAGGCACTTCCCTAGGAGCAAAGCTGAAGTATGAATCCTATTGCCAAGCTTGATTTCTGGTTAATGCTGCAGGCATGGATATTTTATTTTGATGAATAATAATTAAATTTAAATAATGAAATAAGTTAATCAAATAACCAAATAATGAAAATTCAATAACATTTAGATATAAATAACATGAATTTAATAATACTGACACCATTTGAAGTTTCTGAACTCAGACTTGTTTGCTTGCTTTTGGGGGAAAGGCCATTTAGCTGTCCAAAGGGGATAGTCTCACTAATGGGGGATGCTGGGCTTTTCACTTCTTTCATGCTCTGGGTTCACATCAGAGCATAAGCAGATACTATCAGAAACACGCATAAATCGGTGTTTGAGTGTAGATGAGACAGCTCTCCCAATGATGCACAAATTTTTGTCCTCCCAGAATAATTCCTCTATCTCTCACTGAGGATCAAAGCACTTGTGGTGGCTGTCTCAAATTTACTATTGGGGGCAAATGTAATTCCAGCTCAGCACTGAAGTCCGATGACTAAATCCCGTCCTCATATGATTCAAGGAAAGTGCATTGCTCATCTACTCTGTACATGTCTCTGTAGGAGGCCCTATGGAGGCCCCTCTCTTAAGGGGCTTTATATTTCTAGTTAACACAACGTTTACTTCAAAGCTAAATATTAGAGATTGTGTTATTGTGGCATAAAGGCTTTTCTACCACAGAGGCCCAGGTAGTCATGTGGAATTTACAAGAGAAGGTAAAGCATGTTCTGGAAAAAACCTCTTAACAATCCTTAATCTTTACATCTTTACTTCTTTACAGTTAAGAATAGAATGGTTCATAGAAGTTAGATAAAATTGCTTTGAGAAAGACTGCAGGGCTACTATTTCTGGTAGTATTGTGGATGACATAAACTAAAAACCCTTCCTTCAGAACACCAAGAAAGACTGGATAAAAATTCTTAAAAATTCTTTTAGTTGATGAGGGCACCTGGGTGGCTCAGTCGGTTAAGCATCTGCCTTCGGCTCAGGTCATGATCCCAGGGTCCTGGGATCGAGCCCCGCATCGGGCTCCCTGCTCAGCGGGGAGCCTGCTTCTCCCTCTCCCTCAGCCTGCTGCTCCCCTTGCTTGTGCTCTCTCTCTCTGTCAAATAAATAAATAAAATCTTAAAAAAAAAAAAAGAATCCTCTCTTCCTCTGCTTTCTACTGTAAACCAATTTGTGTTTGATTTTATGTTTATTACATCAAAAGCATCCTAACTGATCTAATATTCTAAAAACCACTTCTTGGTAAAAAAGTCACTTCATTCACTAATTTATTCAATAAATCTTTATTGAGTGCCTACTATGTGCAGCGCTGTACTGGAAATGTGATGTTGGGCAAAAACCATACTGTGTCCTTAAGTGTTTAAATAGAAATGAATTTCTTTTTTTTAAAAAAAAAAAAGATTTTTCCTCTTTTCCGGCTGGAACCATGGAGGGTGCAGAAGAGAAGAAAAAGAAGGTTCCTGCTGTGCCAGAAACCCTTAAGAAGAAGTGAAGGAATTTCGCAGAGTTGAAGATCAAGCGTCTGAGGAAGAAGTTTGCTCAGAAGATGCTTCGAAAGGCAAGAAGGAAGCTTATCTATGAAAAAGCTAAGCATTACTACAAGGAATATAGGCAGATGTACAGAACTGAGATTCGAATGGCAAGGATGGCAAGAAAAGCTGGCAACTTCTACGTACCGGCAGAACCCAAATTGGCATTTGTCATCAGGATCAGAGGTATCAATGGTGTGAGCCCAAAGGTTCGAAAGGTGTTGCAGCTTCTTCGTCTTCGCCAGATCTTCAATGGCACCTTTGTTAAGCTCAACAAGGCTTCAGTTAACATGCTAAGAATTGTGGAACCTTATATAGCATGGGGGTACCCAAATCTGAAGTCAGTGAATGAATTGATCTACAAGCGTGGTTATGGCAAAATCAATAAGAAGCGAATTGCCCTGACAGATAACACATTGATTGCCCGATCTCTTGGTAAATATGGCATCATCTGCATGGAGGATCCGATTCACGAGATCTATACTGTTGGAAAACGTTTCAAAGAAGCAAACAACTTTTTATGGCCCTTCAAATTATCTTCTCCACGAGGGGGAATGAAGAAAAAGACCACCCATTTTGTAGAAGGTGGAGATGCTGGTAATAGGGAAAACCAGATCAATAGGCTTATTAGAAGGATGAACTAAGGTATCTGCCATGATTATTTTTGTAATCTGTTCAGTTAATAAATGACTACTCTCATGGGAAAAAAAAAGATTTATTTATTTATTTTGGAGAGCAGGGAGGGGCGAAGGGACAGGGGAAAGAGAGAATCTCAAGCAGACTTCCCGCTGAGCTGAGCACGGAGGCCCTCACCACTGGATCTCATGACCCATGAGATCATGACCAGAGCTGAGCCAAAAGCCAGATGCCCAACCGACTGAGCCACCCAGGTGCCCTCCTCATTTTTTAAAAAAGATTTTATTTATTTAAGAGAGAGCAAGCACGGGGTGGGGGAGGGCAGGGGCAGAAGGAGAGGGAGAGAGAATCTTAAACAGACTCCCTGCTGAGCTCAAAGCCTGACACAGAGCTCAACCCCACGACCCTGAGAGCATGACCCAAGCCAAAACCAAGAGTCAGCCACTTAATTGACTGCACTGCCCTTCTTTTAACAGACTGGTCTAGGATGTGTCTGGTTCAGGTGAGGCTTGATCCAGAGCTCAGACAAGGACCTGATTCTTAATCTTCACTTCTCAACTCTACTCTCTCAGCGTAGGCTCCATGTCCAGGGAGGTTTCTCCTGGTGCAGTACCGGAAACAGAAACCACTGTAAGAATGTCGAGCGTAATGATTTAGTAGGAAATGAACATGTATGTGTTGGAAGGGATGGCAGAATGGAGACTTCCACTGTATCTGCCATCCAGAGTTCTGCCACCACAGATGCCCCATGCCCTCGGAGCACTGACAAGGGCACCTGGAGTCCAGTTCCTGTATACACCACTGAGCACAGGTGCTTGCTTGTCAGCTCGTTCTGTCACAGAAGGGTGGTCTTTTCCTCCCCTCCATCTTCCAGATCTTACACCACTGTTCATCAGTCATCGGCAGAACTCAAATTATGTCCAGAATTTTAACTCCATAGAAATCTGGAAAATGTGATTTTAACCTTCCATACATTATAACCCAGGGGATAGGGAGACATAGAAGGGAGTGAGAATGGAAGCTAAATAAAAATTAACAATATCTAGTGCAGTCCACAGCTTCCACTAATAATCTTTCAAGCCAACAACAGAACTCTGTTCCCACCTAATGCTGCTGTTCCCTCCTTCAAACGAAAACATGCTTATCCTATCCCTGAATCTTTACACCCAATGCTATGTGATGTTCCTTCCTTTTCTCTTTTAGGCACAAATTCCACCTTAAGACACTCTAACTTAAAGACCATTTTATAAAATTCACCACCAGCAGCAAATCTCATATAAAAGGAAAAGGTAAAGCAATTAAAAGAAGTTCATTAATACCTAAAAAAAAAAAAAGCAAAGAAGAAAAATGTGTAGCTTCTACAGTCCTTTATTCTGCAACAGGAAATGAAACCATAGATGGTGTTTATTACTTCCTTATTCATTGTTCTCTTTGCCCTCAGAAATCTTCCCAGCCAGTAGGGTGACACAAACCTTCAATCCTGAAGGATTTGAGCCCCAAACAGTCCTTCCTTGTTGAACAGCTATAGATTTCCATTAACATGTAACACTGAACAGGGAATTACCAGAAGCAACTTTGGAGGAACTCCTGGGTTGAAGACATGCTTGCCCCTGACTCTGTTGTGTGGCTGCATCACTGTTTTCCCTTATCGATCCCCCAGCCAATTCAGTAACCCCCTTATTTCCTTGCTGGCCTGATGGCAATATCCAGATAGAGTTTCAAATTCCTATTCAAAGAATTATGTGTCCCCTAGTGGAAACACAGCCCAATGTCATAGGAACAGGAAGCACTATTTTGCAAGTGCATAACCAGGTTTATTTTTTTATTTTATTTTTTAAAAGATTTTATTTATTTATTTGAAAGAAAGAGAGCGTGTGGGCAGGTGCACAAGCTGGGGGAAGAGGGAGAGAGAGAAGCAGACTCCCTGCTGAGCAGGGAGCCCAACGCTGGCTGATCCCAGGACCCTGAGATTATGATCTAAGCCAAAGGCAGATGCCTAACCGATTGAGCCACCCAGGTGCCCCTAACTAGGTTTAATTGTGGGACACAACCCTCTCCCTTTTACTATTCCCTGAGTTCATGTGTCCTGGCCATGAAAAAAAAAACAGTAATTTGGTTTAGAACATAACTGCCCATGAAGGGCAGCACACCCAGCTTGCTAAGTGCTGTCTCCTACTTGGGGCTGTACCTGAGTCTTCATTACTCCACCCTACTGCCCAGTATGGCCAGCTGCTTGGGGTAATGAGGTTCAGAATAAAGTCATTGAATCCTATGGCAGTCACTTCTTTTTCTGTAAAATGGATTTCTTAGTGAGGGATATGATGATGGTGAGCAAGGTATTCAGAATGTCCAACAATGATGATGCTGGCAGAAGCATTGCAGGAAGGAAAACTGAATCCATATCTGCAATAAAGGTTCACCCCCCAGAGGGCAAATCCCTGCCCACATGGTGATGAAAGGTCCTGGCATTACCTGTCTGCCACAAAGTGGCTGGCTGGTCTCCCTTGGCGTATGGTCCTCTCCACTGGGGCCCAGAGTTGGTCCCTGATGTGAGATACTGGGTGCTCAGCAGCCAGATCAGCCTTGATGAGAATTTCATGTTGATGAACTCACACATATCATATGTTCCTACTGCCACAGTCTCCTCATTCCTTGAACAAGCACCCGGCGTGGCTGGGGAAAAGACTGACTGACGTCTACAGAAGTCTTCCTGCCCACCTGCTTCTCAAAACCCTCCTCAGAAAAGGATGCCTTTGATGAACATTCACAATATGCTCATACTCTGTGTCTACCTGGTTCACCCACACCGTTTTCCTCAGGCCACCTTATCACCAATCCTCTGATCT